GTTTTATAGTTTTCAGAATACAGGTCTTTTACCTCCTTGGTTAAGCTTATTCCTAGGCTTTCTATTATTTTTGGTGAAATTGTAAGTGGGATTGTTTTAATTTCTCTTTTGTTGCTTTATTAGTGTATAGAAATGCAACAAATTTCTGTATATTGATTTTGTATCCTGTGACCTTACTGAATTCACTAATCAGTTTTAGCAGTTTTTTGGTGGAGTCTTCAGGGTCTTCTATATATAGTATCATGTCATTTGCAAATAGTGAAAGTTTTATTTCTTCCTTACAAATTTGGATGCTTTTTACTTCTTTTTGTTGTCTGATTGCTAGGACTTCCAGTACTATGTTGAATAAAAGTGATATGAGTGGACATCCTTGTCTTGTTCCTGATCTTAGGGGAAAAGCTCTCAGTTTTTCACCATTAAGTATGATGTTACCTGTGGGTTTTTAAATATATGGCCTTTATTACGTTGAGGTATGTTTCCTCTAAACCTACTTTGTTGAAGGCTTTTATAATGAATGGATGTTGTACTTTGTCAAATGTGTATTCCGCTGTTTTAGGATGCAGTGTTCTGCATATATCTGTTAGATCCATCTGGTCCAATGTGTCACTCACAGCCACTGTGTTTTTGTTGATTTTCTGTTTGAATGATCTATCCATTGATGTAAGTGGGGTGTTCAAGCCCCCCACTATTGTATTACTATTGATTACTTTGTTACTAGCTGCTTTATGTATTTGGGTACTCCCATGTTGTGTGTATTTATAAATGTTATAACTTCTTGTTGGACTGTTCCCTTGATGATTATGTAGTGTCCTTCTTTGTCTCTTGTTACAGTCTTTGTTTTGAAGTCCATTTTTTCTGATGTCAGTATTGCTACCCAGCTTTCTTTTCACTTCATTGGCATGATAAATGTTTTTCCATTCCTTCGCTTTCAATGTGCACATGTCTTTAGGTCTAAATCAGTCTCTTGTAGGCAGCATATAGATGGGTCTTCTTTTTTATTCATTCTGTCACCCTTTGTCTTTTGATTGGAGCATATAGTCCATTTACACTCAAAGTGATTATTGATAGGTATGTACTTATAGCCATTTTGTTACTTGTTTTATGGTTGATTTTGTAGTTCTTCTCTGTTCCTTTCTTATCTTACTCTCCTCTCACATGGTTTGCTGGCTTTCTTTAGTGACATACCTGGATTCCGTTCTCTTTATTTTTTGTGTTATCACGATTTTTTTTTATTTGTGGTTACCGTTAGTTTTGTATAAAACATATATATAGCAGTCTATATTAAATTGATGGTTGCTTAATTATGAACTCATTCTTTACTCCTCCCTGCCCCATTTTAGGTATATGGTGTCATATTTTACATTCTTTTATTTAGTGAAATCCTTGACTGATTTTTATAGATACAATTTTATTGCTTTTGTGCTTCCTACTTTTCTTACTCCTGCTTATGGTCTTTCCTTTCCCTCAAAGACTCCCCTTTAACATTTCTTGTAAGACTGGCTTTGGGGTCATGTATTCCTTTAACTTTTATTTGGGAAACTCTTTCTCTCTCCCTCTATTCTGAATGATGGCCTTGCTGGGTAGAGTATTATTGGCTGCCAGAGTATTATTTTTTTCCTCTTAACACTTTGAATATATCATGACAAACTCTTCTGTCCTGCAAAATTCCTGCTGAAAAATCAGCTGATAGCCTTATGGGGTTTCCTTTGTATGTAACTTTTCTTTTCTCTAGCTACTTTTTAACATTCTCTTATCACTACTTTTTGCAGTTTTAATTACTGTGTCTCTTGGTGTGGACCTCCTTGGGTTGATTTTGTTGGGGTCTTTCTGTGCCTCCTGGATCTGGATTTCTGTTTCCTTCCCCAGATTTGGGAAGTTTTCAGCTATTTCTTCAAATATATTTTCTGCTCCCATTTCTCACTCTTCTCCTTCAGGGATCCTTATAAAGCAAATGTCATTATACCTGATGGTGTCGCTGAGTTCTCAGCCTAATTTCAATTTTTATTATGTTTTTCTCTCCTGTTCAGCTTGACTGCTTTCCATTACTGTTCTCCAGGTTACTGATCCGTTCTTTTTCCTCTAGTCTAGTATTTATTCCAACTACATGACCCCAATAAGTATTTTTAATTTCAGTTACTGAGTTCATCTCTGATTGGTTTTCTCTTTGTTGAGGGTATCACTGAGGTCCTCCATTCTTTTCTTAAGTCCAGTGAGTATCTTTGTGATTACGTTACTTTAAATTCTCTATCAAGCATTTACTTATCTCCATTTTGTTTAGTTCTCTTGCTGTGATTTTGTCCTTTTCTTTCATTTGGAACATATTTCTCAGTGTCTGTTTCTAGGTGTTAGGAAAGTCAGCTACGTCTCCTGTTCTTCAAAGTAGTGGCCTATGAAGAAGAGGTTCTGTGGTGCCCTGTAATGCAATGTCCCCTGTTCACCAGAACCTGGTAATTAAGGGGTGTCTCATCTTTTGTATTTTGTGCACCCTACTATTATGGTTGAGCCACTTTTGCCTCCAGTCCAGTCACCTGCATTGTCTCTTTTTGCCTGTTGTGGGTAGGGTTTTGATCCTGTGTTGTTAGTGTGCTAGTCTGGGACTGCTTTGGGCTTGAGTTGGAGTCACACCAGGCATTTGCCAGAGATACTATAGTACCAAACTGCTGGACACTTATCCTGTGTTGTCATCTGAGAAGCTCTGGTTGGTGGGTGGGGCCTGTTGTCAAACTACATGTCTGTCCCAGCCCATTGGTAGGGCTGCAGGTGGACTGGTGTGTGCAGGAGTCACTTTGGAGTGGTGCTGGTCTCTGTTGTAGCTGCATGTACCCTTTCAGGCCTGTGGAACTGCTTTAGGTGGGTTCCTGCCAATGGTATATTGGAGGGGCAGTTCACGTGGTGTTACCAACGTTTGTGCAGGTCTGCTGTAGGAGATGACTTGGAGCTAAGGCCTGCTTGGAGGGTTGTATCTGAAGGAGAATGTGGGGTGGGGCACAGTGTTAGCAAGTTGGGTCATGAGTGTTGGCACTGTACTGTTTCCCACAGGTGTCCATGTGTCTAGGCTGAGGGGTGGGGTAGGGAAATGGCACCTGCCAGCTCTTTCATTCCTGGAGAAGTATCCCAAAGATCCCTGTCCCTCTAGCACATGCTCTGAGGTAAGTAAACAAATCTCCCTCCTGAATACCCCATGTGTTTTTCAAACTGCTGTTTTCATGCTGTAGCTCAGTGGGGCTGTTTGTTGTGCTGTTTCTGTAAGGGTGGGGTTTCTTTAAGGACTGAAGTTTCCTGTTGCCCACCTGGCTCTCCCAGAGTTGAGCCCACTGATTTTTAAAGTTCCAGGTATTAGGCCCTGCTGATTGTAAGAACTCTCAAAATTATGCCCCTCTTGTTTTCTTGCAAGTTCTCCAGGCCTGGGGTGCTTGGTGTGAGGGTCTGGTACTCTTTCCTTTCCGCACTCGTGGCACTCCTCCCTATAGCAAATAGTCCCACCAGTCTATTTAGCTCCCAACCTCATCTCTGCCCTTCCTACCCTCCTCTTGTGGGGTAGGACAAGGATGTGTCCTCTTCTCTACATTTAGCTATGAAGAGTCTGTTCTGCCAGTCTTTGGGTCGTTTTCTGATGCAGGTGTTATCTAGTTGTATCCACGGGATGAGGTGATCATAAGATCCTCCTACTCCACCATCTTCCCTGGAAGTCTACATTGTTTACTTTTCTCATATGTTATATCAATCTTGCATTTCTGGGATAAATTCTGTTTGGTCATTGTGCACAATCCTTGAATAGGTTGTGGGATTCAGTTTGCTAGTATTTTGTCTTTTTGTCTTAATTCTTAATAGATTCAGATCTTGGTAAAAAAAAAATTTGGCCCCTGGAATCCTAACAGTTGCCTTTCTTGATGTAATTTCTCTGGTACTCCCCTATCCCCAAACAACTCCTATATAATCCCATAACACAGCAGGTAGCATTGATCCCATTATATTTCTGTTGTCTCTTTACTTGTCACTCTATTTACTGAGAATAGACTGTATTTCCACTGTATCCTAGTATCTAGCACAATCCCTGACAGTATAACTTGAGCCTTCTGGGAAGCAGATAACCATCAGATTTTTAAAAGAACATGAACAAACATGATAAGGAGATTATATAACAAAGACTGGTAAGAGCGTGGTTGAGACATAGAAGAACAGTGTCAGGAAGGTTAAAATACCAAGTTAAGATATGAATAAATATTGACAACAAGATGTAAATTTTACTTAGCTATATTCAGAATGAATATATATCACAGAATGTTTAAATCTGTTCTGCTGGGATTATTTTAATAATAATCATCCTAATGGATGATAAAGAGCAGAATCCCTCAGCTCTTAAGTTGCGTCTGTCTTTCTATCAAATAGAGTTTTCTTCTCTCTAGAAAGGGGAGAAGGCTCTGAATGAGTTATTTCTAGTCCCAGACATATGTAAATTCTTTCCTTACTTGAGATACAATATAAGATCACAAAACCACTGACAGAAAAAAAAAATTTTTTTTTAAGAATTCAAGGAAGTGACTCTCTGCTCGCTGCTAAGTGCCCAATTTTGTCATTTAAGGCTGCATCATAATTTAAGGATCAATTCCTTCAAGAAAACATTCCCCGAGATTTCCAGGCTGGATTTGATCCTGTTCTCTGAACAATCAGAGCAGTTTGTGCATATCATTATCAATCTAACTAAAATTCAATACCTACTCCTTAAATGATGAGTAGCTATTCTAGTTAAAGAGAGGGAGAATTATGTTTCAGGCAGAGAAGACAGCAGGAGCAAAGGCATAGTGTGGTAAGACATACATTCTGAGACCACAAGAAGATCATCTTTGCTGAGGTCTAAAGTAAAAGGCAGAGAATGGCAAGAGGTAAAACTGGAGAGGTAGTCAGGAGCCAGTTCATTGGAAGTCTTGTACATCATGTTATATAACTTGGTTTCTATGCTGTAGCAAGTGGTTGTCAAAAAATCTTTTTCTTTTAAACAGATTATCGAAAGAGAGAAAGCTATGTGGATGAAGAAGGGTTTGATGGGCTAGGTCCTAACTGTTTGGCCTTTCACCATCTCTCAGGATAGCTCCCGAAGAGGTGAGTTACTAAGTATGGTCTGCAAATTGCCAACATCAGAATTATCTTTTTTTTTAACTTTTTTTAAAGATTTTATTATTTGACAGAAACACAACGAGAGAGGGAACACAAGCAGAGGCAGAAGGAGAGGGAGAAGCTGGCTTCCCGCAGAGCAGGCAGCCCGATGCGGGGCTCCATTCCAGGACCCTGGGATCATGACCCAGGCAGACGCTTAACAACTGAGCCACCCAGGCGCCCCAGCCAACATCGGAGTTATCTTAAGTACCTTATAAAAAATGTAGATTCAGGGGTTGACTATAAAGACCAGCTCAGAATCAGCAGCTGGGGTTTCCATAAATTTCCCAGGTAATTCTCACGTACATTAAAACTTTAAAACCAAACATTCTATAAGACAACAAGCTCATGATCTTCAAAAATGCCAGGGCTGTGCATGACAAAGAAAGGCTAAGCGGCTATTTCAAACTGAAAGAGAATAAAGGGCTGTGGCATTTAAATGTGATTTTTGGGGCGCCTGGGTGGGTCAGTTGGTTAAGCGTCTGCCTTCAGCTCAGGTCATGATCCCAGAGTCCTGGGATCAAGTCCCACATTGGGCTCCCTCTCTCTCTACCCCTATCCCCTGCTTGTGCATTTGCTTGCTCTCTCTCTCAAATAATAAAAAAAATATATTAAAAAAAATAAAGGCGATTTTTGCTCTAAAGGACATTATTGCTACATTTTGTATTGTATCAAAGTTGAATTTCCTGATTTTAATGTAAGACGGTGTTGTTGTTCTCGGAAAATATATGTTGAAGTTGTTAAGGAATAAGGACACATGATGTCTGCAAAAAAATGGATTGGGGGAAATCTTCATACTATCCTTGAAATTATTTCAAAATTAAGAGTTAAATTTTTGTAGGCTTTCTCTTTTTAATTTTTTTTTTTTAAATCTTAGGACTGTGCCAACTTCAAACCCTGCTAGGAAACTAGGAATTAGTGAAAGTCTTTAGGTAGTTGTTTTACATAATCTGATTGGTGTTTTTGATGACTTTTATGGTAGTATGAAAAGTGGAATTAGGAAGACAATATTGGTGGCAGGGAAGCCAATTAGAAATCTTGTAAACAGGTGATAAGAGTCTGAAAAGAATGATGACAGTTAAAATGGAGATAAAGAGATTCTGAGGCAAAAATCACTAGATTCAGTGGCTGACCGAATCTGAGGGATGGAAATGAAAGAAAAAAGGGTAACTGTCATGTTTCTAGCTTGAAACGGGTAGTTATATAGATAGTACTGCTACCAAGGTTATGGAGAGTACAAGAGGAACAGCATTTAGTGTAGAATTAGATGAACTTGAATTTGGATATGTGGGACCTCTCTCTGGAGATGTTTAAGAGATAGTTAAATATAAGTCTAAAGCTCTGACAAGAGGTCAGATGTATATATAGATATGTCCATCTGTATATGCATACATATAAATATATAGAGATACAACAAAATGACATACTCAAGATCAAGAGTTCATGAAAGGCTGAATCTAAGATGATTTAATTTAGCAAGAATAAATTTAAGGCCCAGGACACTGAACCAAAATACCAACTGAAGAAGCAGAAGATGGAGGAGTCACTAAGCAGCAACACAATGAAAACAAAACCTTATAGGTTTGAGTATACACAAATCGAATTTATCAATACTTTAGGATAGTTTCCAAAAGAACAAATGCAACCTTAGGCTGCATTAATGGAAAACTAGTATCTAGAAAGAAGCAAATGAGAGTGATGATTTATTGTACACTTACTAGCTGACATCTGTAATACTGTGTTCAGTTTCATTCAAGCTTGAACAGTGACAGGAAAGAATAAAATCAGGTGGAAAAGGACTTGAATCATGCTGTATTGTGGATGGCTGAAAGAATGGAAGGAAAGTTTCAGGGAAATACAGGATAGCTTTAAAAAAATACTATCTTGGAAGAGGCATTACATTTGTTCTCATTTTTCAAGGAGAATCAGGGAAAATGAGTCTGTCAGAAATATTTACCTTTAAGGTTATTCCACTTTTTGTTTTGTGTAATTAAAGAGGTGGATGAACTTTACAGGGACACATGTTTTTAGCTTAACCGAAAAAGAACATTTTCAATGCTACAGCTCTCTAGCAATGGAATTAACTGTATGGCAATTGGGTAAACTACTTGTCACCAAGTGTAGTGAATCAAAGGCTGGATGAAGCTGGATCCTGGAATGAATAGGTGAGGCTAGAGGACTCTCAAGGGCTTCTCTCTTCTTTAGAAGAGATTAGACAATGAGGTGAGTATTTTTTTATTTTTGACTAGGTAAAAATTACAAGAAAGCAATTTGACATATGATGAAATTCTACTGGCTTCCTTTATGAATTTCTAGAGCTAGAGAGAAAAATAAAAATTTGAGATTCACAAATTTCTGGGAAGGTGAATTTCTCCTTGGCTATTGGTTTTTTAGATAATCTAGTTTCTTACATGAAAATCTTGATCAGATATATATGGTTAAATAACACATTCAGATGATTTGTGAGCACTCATTACTGTCCTAGTTTACTCACCCAAACCTTGATTAGGGAATGGTCTTCTGAAATAATCAAATATACAATCATCTGATACATTTGGCTTTGTATCTAGAAAATATGATAAAAGATCATTAGTAGCATGAAAATATTTGAGTCTTTTACACTTCATATTTTTTTCTAAACAAAAAAGGCTAGAAAATAACATGTAGTTTAGCTCAATAAATTAATACAAACAGTTCTCAAATATGAATTTTTGTTGCATTTTTGCTCTTTATTGTAAAAGTCTTAAGGGTCAGCAATTCCTTTCTAGGAATCTATCATAAATAAGAATATACACAAATAGAGTTATAAGGTATTCATTATTGTAACAGAAAATAAGCAAAATTAACAATGGAGGTAGCTAAATTTAAGGTTCACTAATACAATGGAATACTTTGCCACCATTTAATAACATATGTGAAGAAGTTTATAATATACTGTAATTTTAAATGAAAATGTAGGTTGCAAAACAACATGAACATTCTGTGATTAACATGGAGTTTATGTGCTCAGACGTAGAAAAAGGTCTAAAATGTGCTTTTCAGTTCTGATCTTTGATATTAAATTTTCAACAGAATATATTAGTTATATATAAAATGATTTTCTTGTATGATCACTATGAGAAAGTAGTTAAATTTCAAGTCAATTAACCATATTAGTTATAATAGAATTTTCCTCTTTCCTTGGTGTGGTTCTTGTTCCCATTTCTATTTCTAGTTAGCCTGCTAGATCATAAACTAAATGGATATATATACATGTGTATATATATATTTTAATTAGGTTATCTCAAATCCTTTTTTGGAAATAAGTGTGGTATAAATGTATAGTTTATAGTATAACAAGTAGAGTTATGGTCATACCACCCTGAATGTGCCTGATCTCATCTGATCTCGGAAGCTAATAAGCAGGGTTGGGCCTGGTTAGTACTTGGATGGGAGTAATGCAAATAGAGAGTCAAATTCATATCCAACTTAGCAGATTCCAGTAGAAGCAAATGAATAGTCCACAATTTTGTTCTCCTGGGCTCATCCTCTGTTAAGAAACGAGAGGAATCCCTATATTGTTTGGGGAAAAACCTCTCAAATCAGAGATCTGCATCAAGTCCATGAACCGCTCACTCCAACCCTCCAGTGTAGCTGACCACTCCTTCCTCGTGCTCTCTAGGAACCCAGTCTAGAATACTGGCATTGCACCTATAACACTGCACTTAATTTGTTTTTCTCCCCCTATTAACAGATGAGCTCCTGAGAGTAAGAAATGGTATAGTATACTTCTTAATATCCCTAGCACCAGGCACGCTGGAAACCTCAAAGATGTGGCACAGAAAGTGTTCACTGAATGAATGGTTTAGAGAGGGTAGAAGCGGAACATTACCTTTCACATCAGAATTTGATTCTCTGTGTCTTCGCACTAAATGTCCTTTATCACATGCCTAATGGAACACAGAACCAAAAGGAAAACGATACTATGTTATAAACATGAAAATGCGGTATATATCATCCTTGGTATAGTTTTCAACATTTCTCATTTTATCATCATAGGTTTAGAGTAGAAAAAAATCTCTCTTAAATCAGAACCTCCTAATGCCTTTCATAACACTACTTTTCTCCTGCAGCAATGAGAAGAAGAAAATATTGATATTTTGGCACTACTTTATAAAGGGAGTTAAATTTTTTTTACTTCATATAGAATTTGAGAATGAGACAATGAGAAAGAGACAAAAAAATGTATGCTTACAATCTCATTTAAATGAGAATAAAGATGTAGGAAGGTAAGAATATGAAATGAGTAAAAATACATAAAATTGTGTGAAAATATAATTGATTACAAAACTATACTTAAATAAAAAAGATTAAAAATATTTTCTCATAGCTTATCAAAGTCCAGAGTAAGTAAGAGCATACACATTGCTACCTTGAAAAAGTTGTCAATAATGACCCAGCTAGACTAAATGAGACATAAAACATTGTAGAATTATGACAACAAATCCTGAATAGTCTACAAATCATGTGACCAAACTTTGTTTAAAAAGTTTGTTTCCAAACTTTTGTTTCTGCATCTGTGGTATGTGAATATTATAAAGAAATTTCTAAAAGGGCAATGGAAAGGAAAAAAATACTGCAAATGTCAACATTTTTTTGCCAACATGTTATGCATATCAACTCATGATGAAAAGTGGGCTATGAAAAAAAACGTGGACTATGAAATAGAGTTAAAAACTAAAATTCCCTTCTTTGTAGATAAATTTGGGAGCAAAAAATTTGATATAATCATTACGAAAATGAAATTATAAAAAATCAAAACTTGATTGTTGAAGGCACATTCTATAAAAAATTATACAAAGTTAAAAGTAACATTATATAATCACTAGAGAGACAAGAGGTAAAATTAGGCTGGAGAAATTCACTTGTGATAAGACCTGATTTGATGAACTCAGTCATTTTTAGCCCTCTTCCCTTGATTGAAACGATGCTGTAAGCCACAATAAACTATTACATTCATCCTACTGAAAATCACCAGGCCAGTGTCCTTTTGAACATGATCTCCTAATTCTAACCACAGTAATCTATACTTGTTTTTGCTGAAAGTCTTCCAAATCAATTATTGAGCATGTCCGGTAGGAAATAAAGTTAACTAAGATACTTCAAAATAACGTAAAAATATTTTTGGGATATATGGTGTCTTACAATTAAAATAAGAAATAGTTCAGAGCATGAATTTAAGTTGTCCTCAGGCACTGAACTCAGTTAAGATGATACTGTTCACTTTTTTTGCCCAAGATTAGAAAATAAATTTCAAGATCAATGGCTAAGAACTCCTATTAGTTTATAAGCATACTTATAATGTGTGCAGCCTTTTCAAATGACCAAATGATTGTTTTCCAACTGGAAAATCCAACATTAAATATAGATTATGATTTCATAAAAAATTTGAAGCTCCAATCAAGGAAGGGGAAAATATATAAACATTTAATATAAAGGAATTTATTATATTTTACATGAAAAAAACCACTCTGTGGATATGTTTATGAGAAGTAAGTATGTGTCTCACAAAATCTACATACAAAACACTTAAAAATAATCCCTCCAAACAAAATGTACTTTGGTTATTGGGTTCTGTAAATGCCTTAACACACTGAAATTGATTAGTTTCCCCAAATTTTTTTATAATCTTGACCCTCTCCCAAGCATACCCATGTTGCTTAGACTGCACAATTTACAAACAAAAATAAGGTATCATTGTAAAAATATGCAATATTACTCTAACAGTGTACTCGACTAGAATTAATGAGGAATACTGCACACAAATGAGTGCATGCATACTGGTAAACTGTGAATAAGCTCTGCATCAGTTTCATGGCATCAATATGGTATAATGTATGCAGGATGTATGCAGGATGGTAACACTGGAGGAGAAGTACAGGATGCAGCAGAGCTCCTGTACATACATTTCTTTACAACTTCCTGTGACTATGTAATTCTTTCAAAATAAAAAGTTCTTAAAAAAAAAAAAACTGTTTTTGTCTGGTTCTCCCCAAAGGCAGAATTTCTGACCTGAGTGTCTCTGGAGCTGGGGGTGGGGACAATGGCCCTCTTCTCTCAGTGACACCCACTTTAGGAGCTGAGCTGTAGGTGGAAAGAGGGCAGTAGCCTCAGGCCTTCTCTCTTGGCCTCTTCGGGGTGGAATCCCCATTTTATAAGCTAGGGCAAGGGCAGCTGGGGCCAAAATATGTCATGTAGCATTCCCGGCAGAATCTCTGTCTCACGAATGGGGCCTGGGTAGAAGAAAGGAGCCCCCACCTCTTGGCTGCACTCACCTGGAACTTCGCCTCAACAACAGGGACCTGGAGGCAGGCTAGGAAATACTGATGCCCTGGCCTCCTTGGGAAGATAGCATCTGTGGAGAGAGGGGGCCCTGTGTTCTTGGCCGCAGTAGTCAGGAGTGGAGTTTCAGTCTCACTGGATTGAGGGGGGGGCGGATCTTGATTCAAATACCACAGGCTCTTGCTGTTTTCTTTTTACCAAGTTTTAGTAGATTTTCACAGATAGATATTTTTTTCATTTGCTGTCTGCCCTTAGGACAATTTCCAGAACCTTTAAATGGTTGTGTGTATGTGTGGGGCGGGGGGGTGTTCACCAATTTTTGCTTGGTGAATGGATTTGCAGAGCTCCTCATGCTATCATGATGAAAGTCAGTATCGCAGCAGCATCTCTTCTCACATTTTTGTATGGCCATTTAATTTTTCTTCGTTTTAATTAGCTTTCTTAGTTTTAATTTCTATCCTAGACGTATCTTTGTAAGATGCTTCAAATACTTTTCAGAGTAAACTAAGTGCAATTTAAATACAGTACCTTAATAAAACCCACCTCTCATCTGTCAAGGTTCTTTTGTGTTTTTATAAATAGCAAATAATATGAGCAAAGTTGTAATCATTAACTTTTCCTGGGGAAAACAATTAGGGCATAGGAATTGTAACAAGAAATGACTTGCCATTCTCCTGCAACCATTTTTTTCAAAAACTGTTAATAACCAGATCAATGCATACCTCTTGCTCTTCTCTGGTGTTTTGATGACTTGCTATGGTAGAATTTCTTTCCTTCTTTGTTTTCAGGTGTTTTTTCTTGCTTTTTATCTAAATAACAGAATCATATTTAAAATCAATATTTAACACATCAAAGACAGTATATATGTGGACATAAAACTATCTTGAGACTTCCAGTTCCAGGAAGTATTTTTCTATTCCTCTAAGTACAAATAAACCCCTGGGTATTATATAGAAATTAAACATAAGAGGCTCTAAAAAGTGGAAAGGCAGACCAGTGAGGGGTAGAGCAGAGGGGCAGCAGGATGGTGAGTAGATCCTGTGTTTTGTTTTTGCCTCATACATCCCAGCGTTAACTGGAGAAACCAGCAACCCAGAAATGCCAAGAAGTGAAGAAAAATGTCTGAAAACTCCCTAAATTTGATGAAAGACATGAATGTAAACATCCAAGAAGCTCAATGAACTCCCAAGATGAACTCAAAAACCTATGATGAGATACATTATAATCAAACTTTCAAAGATAAAGAGAATCTTGAAAGTCGCAAGAGAAAAGCAAACTGTTACACGCAAGAATCCTCAATACGATTATAGATTTCTCGGGGCACCAGCATGGCTCAGTTGGTTAAGCCTGACTCTTGGTCATGATCAAGTCATGATCTCAGAGTCATGAGATTGAGCTCTGCATCAGGTTCCATGCTTGGCACAGAGTCCGCTTGAAGATTCTTTCCCTCTGCCCCTCCTCTAGCAAGCTCTGTCCTTCTAAGATAAATAAACCTCAAAAAAAAAAAAAAAATGAGGGGCATCTGGGTGGCTCAGTTGTTAAGCGTCTGCCTTCGGCTCAGGTCATGATCCCAGGGTGCTTCCCTCAGCAGGGAGCCTGCTTCTCCCTCTCCCACTCCCCTGCTTGTGTTCCTGCTCTCGCTGTCTCTCTGTCAAATAAGTAAATAAAATCTTAAAAAAAAAATTATTAGATTTCTTATCAGAAACTTTGGAGGTCAGAAGATAGTGCACCAACATATTCAAAGTGCTTTAAAAAATGGCATTATTGTCCTTCAAAAATTAGGAAAAAATTAAGACATTCCCAGATGAACTCCCTCAGTTTTTGTTTGTGACCACTAGACACATCCTGTTGGAAATGTTCAAGGGAGTCCTGCAAGGTGAAATGAAAAGACACTGGACACTAACTTGAATCTGTAGAGAGAAATAAAGATCTCAAGGTAACAACACAGGCAATTATAAAAGCTAGTATATTTTTGTAACAATGGTTTTAAAGAGCACTTTTTGTTTTCCATATAATTTAAGAGACTAATACATTTAAAGAAAAAAAGCAGTTATTAATGCAGTTTCATCCTGTTGTGATCAGAGAAGATACTTTGTAAGACAGCTATCTTTTAAAATTTATTAAGACTTATTATTAAAATTATGTACCAACAAATTAGATAACTTAGATGAAAGAACAAATTCTTAGAAACACAAAACCTAGCAAGACTATATTACAAAGAGATAGAAAATATGAACAGATGAGTAACTAGTAAGGAGACTGAATCAGTAAATCAAAAACCTCCCAACAACAAACCCTAGACCTGATGGCTTTCTGGGAGAATTCTACCAAACATTTAAAGAACTAATACCAGTCCTCAAACTTTTTAAAAAAACCGAAGAGGAGGGAACCTGTCCTAATTCTATGAGGCCAGCATTATTCTACTACTAAAGCCAGAGAGACACTACCAAAAAAAAAAAAAAAAATTAAAGACCAGCATCTCTTATGACATTAATGCAAAAAAATCCTCAACAAAATACTAGCAAATTAAATTCAGTAGCATATTAAAAGGACTGTACACAATGACCAAAGAGGATTTATTCCTGGAATGCAAGGATGGCTCAACATACCAAGTTGATCAATGTAAAACACCACATCAACAGAATGAAGGAAAAAACGCCATATGATCATCTCAATTGATGCAGAAAAGGCATTTTACAAAATTCAACACCCTTTCACCATTAAAAAATCCCAACAAACAAGGCATACAAGGAAACTACAACACAAGAAAAGTCATGTACGAAAAATCAACAGCTAACATTATGTTCTTGGTGAAGGCTGAAAGCATTTCCTTTAAGATCAGGAACAAGGCAAGGATGTGTTTTTATCACTTCTATTCAACACAATACTGGAAGTTCTAGCCAGAGCAACTAAGCATGAAAACTGAATAAAAGTCACTGAAATGGGAAAATAAGAAAATGATCTCTGTAGATGACATGATCTTATATTTTAAAAACCTTAAAGATTCCACAAAAAACCTGTTTGAACTAATTAAATCAGCAATGTAGTAGGATACAAAGTCAACACAAAAAAATCAATTGCATTTTTATACACAAAGAATAATTTATTCTACATTATTACATCAACAGATGGTGCTCAGAAAACTGGATATCCATTTGCAAAGGAATGAAATTGGACACTTACCTAACACCAAATACAAAAAATTAACTCAAAATATATTAAGGACCTAAATGTAAGACCTAAAAGGATAAAAGTCTTAGGAAAAAACATAGGACAAAACTTGACAACACTGAATTTGTCAACGATTTTTTGGATAGGATATTGAAGGCCAACAGCCAATAAGGGACTAAGGTCTTTAGCCCAAAAGCCTCTGAAGAACTGAATTTTGTTAACAATTATGTAAGTGAGATTAAAAGTGGATCCTTCCTCAGGCCTTCAGATGAGACCATAGCCTGACCAATGCCTTCACAGCACTCTTTTGAGAGACCTTAGACAGAAGCATCCAGCAAAGCCACTCCTGAATCCCTGTCTCACAGAAATGGTGTGATAATAAGTATCTGAAAAGTTTTAAGCTGCTGCTTGGGGTAATTTGTTACTCAGCAATAGAAAACTAATACATCTGTCTTATTCCATTCAGCTGCTATAACAAAATACTGCAGAGTGGTTGGCTGAAAATAATGGAAATTTATTTCTCATAGTTCTTCAGGGAAAAGGTTGAGATCATTGTGGTAGTATGGTCAGGTGAGGGCTCTCTTTTGGGCTGCAGATGTCTTATTGTATCCTTATATTGTAGAAGGGGCTAGGGATCTCTCTGGAGCTCTAAGGTATGAATCCCCCTCAGAGGGCTCTGGCCTCATGACCTAATCACCTCCCAAAGGGCCCACCTTCTGGTTCCATCATATTGGGCATTATCATTTCAACATACGAATTTGGGGGAGATAGAAATATTCAGGCATAGCATTCTGTCCCTGGGCCCTCCAAATTCAAGTCCTTCTCTCATGAAAAATGCATTCATTCCATCCCATTCCACTCCAAGTTATGTGCTTCCAAAATACAGTGGTGGGATAGGCATAGGACAGACATTCCCAAAGGGAGAAACAGAAAAGAAGGATGGGGTGATGGATTCCAAATAATACAAGTTCTACCTTCCATAAAACAATAGAACACAAACACAATTCAGCCAAATTCTTTATAGTCAGGATTAAAATTTTCTCCATCAGCCAATAGCATGTTTGTTTCTGAGACTTCATGAAAATTACCTTTAATATTCATATTTTTACTAATGTTCTGTATGTGATTATTTGTGTATTCTTTAAGAAGATGAAAACTCGCTCCCCCTTTTTCCTTTCTGAGCCCCTACCAGAATCACCTTTGGAAGTTCCTTCGTGGCAACATCAGCATTTTCTAACATGCACTTCAAAGCTCTGCCGGCCTCTACCCATTATCGAATTCCAAAGCGAGTCCCACATTTTTAGGTATTTGTTACAGCAGCACCCACATTTGGTACTAAGAGAGCAGTGTCTTAGTTTGTCTTAGTCACCTCTTAATACCATCACATTGAGTGTTAGGGTTTCAACATATGTATTTGGTGGGGGCATAAACGTTCAGTACCACCTGAACTCCCTACTTCTCCTCCGATTCTAATTTCTCCTTAGGCACTTACCATTACCTGATACATCATATATTTTACTTATTTCTCATTTTTTATTTCCACCAACTAGAATATAAGTAATGAAAAAGGATTTTTGTCTCATTTTTTGTTCACTGCTCTATCGCCAACACATAGCTGAAGCTCAATATATAGTTGTTAAATAAAAGAATAAATGAATATTGAATTTGCAGTCAGGTGATGTATGTTAGGCTACCAACTCTCATTAACAAGTGGTGTGGCTTTTGAGAAGTAAGCTGTCTGGATCTTTAAAGTAAGTGTGTTAAAAATCCTAAGGATAGAAAATTCTGTGATTTAAAGATATGTCACATAATCCAAAAGCAGCAGTTATTGCTATAATAACTACATAAGTGCAAGCATATTTTTGTGTGATTGTTAGTCACAGTAAGAAGAGTACCTATTTAGTATATCCATACCATAGGCAGAGATTCTCAATCATACCTGAGAAGTTAACTTGAGAAGATAAGTCTGAGACTCATTGGATTCTGAACTGTCGGAGCCTCGGCTACTACAAAAAATAACTTTGATATAATAATTATTACATTATTTTAATTATATTTATATTTTATTTAAATTTACAGTGTTTAATTTATTAACAATCTATATTGTAAGTATAAAAATAATAATAAATAACAATATTTTGGTGGCATTTTAAAATTTTAACTGTTGCTTTTATCCTATTATTGGAATGGTAAAAATGGTTCTAATTATAAGAAGAATGTTTACAAAGGTAAACATTACAAATAAGTTTGTAAATATTACAAAGCGTAGATGTCATAGTTCTAGGCATCTCAGAGTATTAGAAGAACAATGACTGAGATTGGAACACATCAAATAGAAACAAATCCATGAGGGCGCCTGGGTGGCTCAGTTGGTTAAGCGACTGCCTTCAGCTCAGGTCATGATCCCAGGGTCCTGGGATCGAGTCCCGCATCGGGCTCCCTGCTCTGCGGGGAGCCTGCTTCTCCCTCTCCCACTCCCCCTGCTTGTGTTCCCTCTCTCGCTGTGTCTCTCTCTGTCAAATAAATAAATAAAATCTTTAAAAAAAAAAAAAAGAAACAAATCCATGAGTTCAAAATGATACTCCCCATCTGCAAACAAACTTATTAGTCACCTCTGGAGGTTGCAGGGGCACTAATGCAAGGTGTGAAAATTTATAAATAAAGGAAAAGAATCAAACATTTGTTCTGTCTTTCCTATAGGAAACCGTACAAAATTAGTACCTTCATTCTTCCAACAACATTCCCTTAGCATTAAGTTTTGCATTTGTTATTTGCTAATTTAGAGTATGTATGTGGCATCTGTATAAATGTGTCAATTCTCTGTGGGTAATGTCAGCATCAAAAACAATTTGAGTATGTCTTTCATGTACAGGACATAATAGGTGTTCAATTAATATTACCTGAATAAATAACTGAAGTCTTAATGAAGTTGGGCCAAAGTAAAGTGCATGGAAAAACTTTTCCTCCACCTATAGTTGGGATTTTCAGTTGAGACTGAGAATTTTATATCCTCCTGTTACTATAAAGGGCACAGTAACACAGCACAAATTATGTTACATCCACCATCTTGACTTACCTAGACTCTAGATCCAGTGTCATTTCTTTCAGAGAAGTATCTGAATCCTCAAGGATTTTTTCCAAGTTTATATGTTTTTCCATTTCTTCTAATTCTTTCAAGCACTGGTAATACTAGGGGAAAATGATAAATTAATTACAAATTAACTCTATTTCCTAATTAAACTAAATATTTATAGACACCTGGAACAATAGGTAGGGGGACATCAAGTACTAGAAACCTCAAACACTGTTAGGATACTAAAAGAATAAAAACTGCCATAGGCCCTTAGGTTATATTATCTCATAAACTTGAGTTTGATACATTACCAAATGGACTTTGCTTACCTTGGTTCGGTCTGGATCACAATAATCCAAGAGAGAATCACAAAAATGGTATCCCACTGACTCCAAGTCTTTTGTGTTGAAATGAGTGCCCCGTTTATTACCTAAAACGTCAAGAAGTTTATCCACCATTGAGGATGAGTTAATCATTCATCCTTAATAGGTAGGCCTAAATTGTAAAACAGAGAGTATAAATAAACAAAATATCTGATATGATTCTATAGCTGTCCTTTGGATTTTCTTCTCTGGGGCAGGTCATCTAACAACAGCTCACTGCTTACCCTCCTTCCCTCTCCACCCCTGGATCAAAGCTGACTTAACATGTATTAGTCTATGTTGTAAGGCAGAAGAAAATTTAATAAGAAATTATGAAATATTTGGTTACCAGTTACAAACACACTCATAATCACTTAGTGAAAAACTTGGGTAAATATTTTAATGTTTTCATCATCATAGATAGTGTTATATCAGTTTCAAGGTGCTTTAAAAAACAGAAATTATACGTGTGGATTTCTAGCACTTTCCTTTGAGTCAATAAATTTTCTAAAAATGTAACAATTTTCTTAATATGGAGTATTCCAAGGGTAAACTAGATGTGACTAAAAGATTTCTTAAATGGAACTAGAGAGCACACTTTTATTTTTAGTTAAAGGAACCGAGTGCTTCCATTAAAATATAAATTGACCCCCTTAAAGAACCCCCAACAAACCCAGTCTACTTGGACTTGCAAATAGCAAATCCACCAAAAACATTTCTATCGTGATATTTTAAGTATGAGCATTGCTTTTTCTTGAAATCACAAGTCATCTGTAAGGACTCCTTAAAAACAAAACAAAAACAAGCAATTAAAGATTAGTTCATGAAATAACCAGTTAGGTATTCTATCTATATGCTAACACTTTGTTTTCTAAACAAAGGGAAATAATGAGATGGAGATACAGAGTGGTAGTTTGTTCATCCTCTATATAGAAGCGATTGGACACCAGCATGTATCTAAGTGGGAAGGAAGTGCCCACTATCAAATTGTCCACATAATTAATCTCACACTAAAAATATTTCTTTGGTTTAAAGCTCTGAGAGCCATGAATGAGAACACTTGGTCTTACCCAGGGTAGATCCACAAAAAGTAGCCTCCATGGTAAAACTGTTTCTGATTCCCATTTTCCACATTACTACCCTTCCTGTTCCCTCTTTGCTCTTCTGAACATTAAACTTGCAAGCTGAGAATGAAAACTAAAAAGAAGCAAATAAAAATGAGAAAATGTGTTTTTCTGAGTACAATGTCTTTCTTAGGAAGTAGCGTTGAAAATGAGAAAGTAGTGCAAATGCAGTAATTCTCTCTAGAGCTTCAGGGGCTGCTTTTATTTCCAAACCAGTGGAAATAACTCATTTTAAGGATGACATATTTTCATTTCTCAGAAGTACAGATTTGAGAACACTGGCAATAAATTTTACTTTTTATATATAACATGTATTCTTGATTCTGTTGGGATAAGCTCTTATACTTTAAAAAATTTAAACATGTTTAAGAATAAAATTAATGTAGATGTTTTGAATAAAATAAGGATGCTTTACTTTTACAAGCTCAATCATTGGAAAGCTGTCCTGAAAGATTGTTATAATGTCTCTCTAAAAAGTTTTTGCTATTTTTTTATTTACAATAAAATTAACTTGTGTTCCATCCTGTGAGTTTGACACATGTATAGATTTGTGTAGCCACTACCACATCAGGATGTAGGACAGTTCCATCACCTCTAAAAAACTCCCTTGTGTTATTCCTTTGCAGTCACAATTATTTATTTTGAAGCTACAGTAAATGGTATAGTTTTCAGTTTTGGTTTGCAATTGTTCAGTGTGAGGATACAGAAATCTAGTTCATTTCTGAGGGGGGACCTTGTCATATAGGACATTGCTAAACTCATTAGTTTTAGGAGGGTTTTTTGGTGCATTGCTTTGGATTTTCTATGAAGACAATCATGTCATCTTTATTCCAAAAGTGTCTGCCTTTTCTTTCTTCTCTTGCCTTCCAGCACTTAGAACCTCCAGCATAAGGCTGAATTGAAGAGGTAAGGGTGGTTATCCTGGCCTTGTTCCTGCCCTTATAAGGAAAACAGTCTTTTATCATTAGCTATGGTGGTAAGATAAGGTGCATTCTTTCCTTCATATTTCAAATTACTGGTCACTAAACATTCCACGTAGTTGCTTTTTTATGGTCGACTGAATAAGGCAGTCAAAAGAACTAAATAAAAAAGCAGTTTACTGAATAAGGTGATCTATTCTGCAGTCTCACGCGGGCAACATGTAATAAAGGAAAAGTTAAAAATCTTAAATGGTCTTACTTTGTCTGGACAATTTTTGCTCAGCATAAGTGGGAAGATTCGTTGCTGTAGGTATAATGCTTTACATCTATCACTACCATCACAACCATACATGAAGATGTTCTCTTTTCTACTGTGGCCATGAAGGTCACAATATAAAATAACCTCTCGTTTCTCCATCAATCTACCGAGAAAAAAAAAGAAGTTACTAAACGAGTTACCAAATTTTACCTCTGCATTTTTCTATGGATTTACAAGTCTAATATCCAAATAAATAGAATTTCTTATATCCTCACTTTCAACTTCTTTCTCTTATCCATACCGCATATTAACAATTTTAAGACATCTACAATAATTTCCTATTAGCTATATGTAAAATACGAATGCTTACCTTCCATTATAAGGACAAAATTTACCTTACTCCCAAGACTCTCCAATAGGATCCTCTGCTTTATTATTCTGGTTTTCCATCGTATAAAGAGAATAGCTCGCTCCTACTTTGCCCATTAGCTTTCACAGAGATTCTTCCTGACTAGAATACCTTCTTTCTTCATTTCCGTAAGTGCAAATACTGCCCCTCATCCCTCAAAGCTGACTTCATGTCTCACTTCCTAACCAGTCAAGACCACAGATTTTTTTTTTTTGAATTCCTATAGCACATAATATTGGTGCCATTTGCTTGACATTTGCCTTGGAAAGTTTTCATATTTTTGATATTTAATCTTGTTAAGGGTAAGAACTGCTTCAAATCAGCTAGAACAGTGCTATGCACAAGAGTACCCAAATATTTGTTAAAAATTGAGTACCTGACAACCTGGTGCTGAAGCCAATTATTATACAACCCTTGATTAAAGTGGTAAATATTATTTTGAGAAAAATTGTACCAAAGTTTGAATTTTTTTTCTGGTAAATTTCTAATACGGAAATTATTACACATTTCTTAGGAGCACAACCCTTAGTTTGTATAACTTAGGCACTCAGTGAATATTTAAGCAATAAAAAATAAGCCGCCAGGGACGCTTGGGTGCCTCAGTCAGTTAAGCGTCTGCCTTCAGCTCAGGTCATGATCCCAGCATCCTAGGATCGAGTCCCGCATTGGGCTCGTTGCTCAGCGGGGAGACTGCTTCTCCCTCTGCTTGCCGTTCTGACAAATAAATAAATAAAATCTTAAAAAAAAAAAAAAAGCCCCGGGGCACCTGGGTGGCTCAGTCGTTAAGCGTCTGCCTTCG